ATTCAGCATAAAACGCATGCTTTACGTGCTTTTGTAAACCAAATTGATTAGTGAATCATTACTATCATAATATCAGAATTGGAATTAGTTTGAACGACACCCATTTATAACCATCCAATAATCCTTTACTACTGTTCTTACAGGTAGACGAATTGAAGACAGCCCACGACTCGTAAACACAGTCGCCCTGCTCATATCCTGTGTCCATGCCGCCACTGCTTCGGTTGAAGACGTGGAAGGTAACAGGAAACGTAAAAGAGTGAAAATGCTTTTAAGACTACTGAAAAGTGAGGATGACGTTGGTAAGACCATCCTAGCATATCCACCTTTATCATGTGGTGGCTATTGCTGACTTATTTGCGTTCCATACCTCGCTTTCGCCCCCAACAATACAATACGAACGATTCGCCGTCAATACGTTTCATCAATGTGAAAGCGAGGCTTGGAACGCAAATTAGTTAGCAATCGCCGACGCTTGTTTGAAGTATCGTGCTAGATGTGATTTTGAAATAATCTATAATCTAATTTGAATTAGTAATTTAATGTCATGAAAATAAGTAGATCTTTTTTAACTAATTTTTCAGCTAAATTGACATTTGCAAATGTGATAAAAGCACGAATATGTCAGTTATTGAAGGAAAGAGATGAGCGAATAGGACACTCGGCTGCCCAATGGTTATGTAATGAGGCCATGTGCTCTGAGAAGATCCAAATAAATGGTACATTCAGGTGAGACAAGTTTACTAAGTACATTGCACTCATCACTGCTAAATTAGACACACTAAAACAATCTAACATATTAATAATAATATTTTTTGAATAGGCGAACAGTGTGGCAGAAACTGAAAACAGTGGTGACACCAATACTCGCAGAAGTGATAGCTTTTGCGGATAAAGATGATAATTTGGATATTCTTACGTCACCTCAAGGTAGTTGGAAGCATCAATTGTGGTTAGAGATATTAAGAAATCCACAACTAGCAGTGATGACTTATGACGATTTTCTGTCGCCAATAAATCACTTACCCCGGGAAATTGTACCTGTGCTGTCGACCAGTAATATTTGTTATGATTTCCCCTTCTTCTGGGTTGTGAAAACGTACATTGACCGCGTTCTACAGAGTGGAATTGCGACAAAAGGTATATTTAACATTTGTTACTATCTCACCTGTACCAAACATAAGACTTGATGACGCTGAAAGATGATTATGGATTTGCATCACTAAATGAAAAACACTTTTCTGTTGTGAGCAATTTCTACATTTAAACGATATTTAATAATATTTTTCTCTTTTCCGTTCATCATAGCAACTGGTGCCAATGTATTGGAGTACAAGTTTAAACAATTACTCCAGCAATCTGAAATTAGTGAAATGTGTGTCATGGATGATAATCATCCCTATTACGACGAAATAGTCAGCTGTTACTTTACTGATTTCTTACGAAATATGTTAAGAACCACAGACAGTGAAGACAAATATATGGTACGTGCACAGTATTTGAGAACATTGATAAATTGATTCATATCGGACACATTACATAATGTACAATAGTCATCACAGTCACTTGTACAGACACTGTGAATAATAAATAAACATCATTTGTCAACAGAATGTAATTCGAAAGGCTATTACATCTGCTGCTTTTGCGAACTTCATCACAAACAAAGCCAAAGACAAATCTTCATTTGTTATGAGCGTTGCGGACATTCACGTGACATACCACAACCTACATACGAGACTACAATATCTAGAACAGATTGTGAAAATATTTCCCGCTGCTGTAGACCTATCTCTTGAAGTTGAAAATGAAATGGTAAATGTATTATACATTTGTTGTCAGTATGAGTGTATTAACTGTGTGTATGTCAACCATGGGTGTTTAATTATACAGTTACAAATAAAATTGTGGTAAATTTTCTCAGAAATTGTTCAAAATTATCCTTCACATAAGAAGCCATACATGCAATATGCCAAAAAAGGGATTGGTTAAAGCACTCGAGGGTCACAAATGCCCCTAATTGAGGCAAAATATTAGATAAACGGAGTAAGAATACTTAATTTTTAGAAGAAATCAAAGATAGCTGTGTACGTACATGCTGAAAGTGTGTTTATTTGGTATGAAAAAAAAAAGATTTTCAAACTCCGGAACGTTTGTAATCGGGATAAGTGGTAGCTCATACAGCAATAATGCTACTACATTGAATTCAGAATGCTTAGATCCACGCAAAAGGTTAACAATGGCCACAAATGATTTAACTTCATTCCAAGATGGCTATATAAGTTGTTGACCTAACAAAATTCTGAAAGGGCACAATTTCACATTTATCATACAAATTTGAGAATGGCGGCTTCCTCAAATGAGCTGGGAAAAATGAGGAAGAGGAAGAAAAACGGAACGATAATAATAGGCCGATGTACTTGAACCCCTATATTCATTTTGATTTTCTTTATTGAAGGTAATTGACGTCTATTCATTGCTAAAGCTTTTGGAAAATCTAGAGAAGACCCAATTGTCTGAATATGAGAAGAGAACACATTTTGTATCCATGATGCATAAAGCCAGACCAATTGTAGAAAAAATGCATGAATCTGAAAGGCAAAGCAAGGAATTGTATGGAAATAAAAGCCAGCAATACATTGCAGATTCCAGGTAAAAGGTTAATTCACATTAAAGATGCAATGTTTGTTTTAATATTCTATGTTTTATATACGAGATATTATCTTAAAATAAAAATAAATGTCGATTGTGCATCAAACTGTATACTCACATGTGCGATTTTTAGTGTATGTACCAACGCTATCAGCCCACATACGTAGTAGAAATACTGCGTCACTAAATGAAATATTTCATTTTAATTATCGCGCCTTATTAATTTTCTACGTAGCGACACGGTGTTTTCTTTAATTTCAACCGCCTCTGAGAATGTGTCTTAAACTGCTATGAGTTATTGTTTCAGAAATTTGTGGAAGAAACTTTGCGTAGTAAAATCTTTTGTGGACCACTTATGTCCTGATACTAATGTTGGCAACGAAAATGCTAAGAAGATTGTTCATTTACTGAAGGTATGTTAATTTATATTTCTTTCGGTGCAATATGTAAACTGGCATTATATGTGATTGTGCGCGGGCTACTAATATTCGAGGTTTGATAAGTAATGAGCACAAGTTGCGTACCAAATCAAATATAGGATTTTTTTGAAGAGATTAAAAGTTTACCATTTTAAATTTAGAGGGAGAATCGTTTTATGTATACATGAATTCAAAACTTTTGTTTTTTATCTTCTTGGCTGGAATAATGTATATAGTAGAGTATAGCTATGTCATAGAGCTCAGGAATTCCTGGATTAAATTATGTGTATTTCACTTGTGAAAGGGACTAAAGAATATTAAGATTGTAAAAAATGCTAGCAGTCTCGTCTACCCATCCCCATTTATGTGCCGACCCTCTGATCTGATTTAAGGATTCACTTCACCATTTAGGACAAGGGCTCCATTACTGATTTGGTGAGCAAACATGAGACGAAGCGCAAAATTTTCTTCGTACTCTCTTAATATTCAAATATATTGATGTGCAATTCTAATTTACAGGCGTTCGACAAACACAAAATTGGTTCAACAGGTGCATTAAAGGTAGTGGAAACGGTGCTGAAGATGGCAAATAAAGTTGCACAAGAAAAATACTTTCGGTAAGAACATTCTGATACATTAAAAACTTATGGGTGACGAATGAATTTTCATGACAAGTTCCAATAGGAAACCAAAGTTTTAATATTTTTTCTCTTTTTATGGCGCTCAATTAATACATACTGATTTGTTTTCTCAGTGTTTGTCGTTGCAATTGCTGTGTATTATGTATTGTGCCAATGATTTAGTGCATTTTGGAAACAAAATTAATTTGTACCTGTTTACAGTTTCGAAAGAAAACAGCTGATTGAATACGGAGACATTATATGAATATCGTATGATTATTAGTCCCAGGTCGGATTCCGTCCGCACCTGTATCTCAGACATGTCTTGGCCGATTACGATATAACTTCACCCGCATCACACATCATATCATACTTATTATAATAACGCACATGCATTTGTTTCATGGTCCAATTAAAAATGACTATTTTAGTAATAACAATTCATCAAAATCAAACATTTCAGCCATTTAATCAGATCTCAGTCATGCATGGACGTATTTCATTCAAACTTTCATTGAACATAATGGGTGATGCACGTTATTTTTTCCAGGTCGGATTCATAATTACCGACTGTTGACCATTTTGTTTTAACAATGCAGTCCAAGGACCATATCTCTGTCATGATTGGCCGATCACATTCAAACCCATACATGTACACCATACATCACGTCCTACGTATGCATACGCATTAATTCCATTATTCAATTCAGAATGGCGGTGGCCATTTTGTTTTAACGGACGCTGTTTCGGGTTGAACTATTTTGACCGATCTCATTCAACGCAAAAACGCACAATTATAAACTGTTAACTGGCTCTAGCTTGTATCAGTCATAACATTATTCTAGTGATGTAATCTATTATCATACTAACCACAGTTTCTTTAAGAGAAACACATGTAAATTGGTCATTTTTTTCCTGTACTTGTTTAGCTCATCAGAGATCACTTTAAAATAGTGTGATCTGGGTGTAATTATTCAATGACTTGTTTACAGTTTAGGCAACAATGAGTGCCGATTCTGCACAGAAGCAGTGACTGAACCAGTTATATTGCCATGTGACCACGTGTATTGCTTAAAATGCGTACAGCCTATGTTCGATCAACTACTTCAGAGAAAATGCATGTGTAAAAAACCCGTCAGTGAAGATTTCAAAATCGAAAGTACTACAAAAAACAAGTACGTAAAGCTAATACCTAATAGTCGCAGTATATATATATATATATATATACACTAATGTTTGGATTATTAATTCATTAATTGTTTTTTTGTCTATGTTGCCTTCAATATAGGGAAAATGTAGCTGCTTACACACGTTTCAGACGGCAGTGCAATTCGTTCTTCATGGAGTACATATCTTTATATTGTTTTACGGATGAACAGCCACCGGAAATGAAGCTTATAGAAAGATTGATGAGTCATGTTACCCTGCAAACAGGCGACAAAGTTGAAACGAAACGCCCGTCACCATTTTCAGAGGAGAGTGTCGACCAAACACCAGTTGTCAGATCGTTTGTATTGCAATTACTTCTACGATATAGGTTAGTACGACATAATTACTGAAACCACTTTATCTCATTGTGATACGAACACGAATGTACATTTCTAGAAATCAACATTACCTGTCTTAATATATAATTACATATATTTTTTAATTGACTCTTGTTTCTCAGTGATAACAATGTACGCACATCCCTTCAGGATTATCTTAGTAAAACAGGGAATGTGGTAAAGACAGAACAGGACATTCTTGAATTCAGTTCACTGAGCATTCAGTGCATAGAGGTAACGAATATAAATTGTGATTACTAGATTTACAATTTTTCAGTATCTTATGACACAGACTTCTTTCTTATTGCTGATCAAACCACACTATCATCTTTTCAGGACGCTCTATACAACAAAGTGGTTAAAATTGACAGTAATTCCAAATTATCCATTATACACGACGCTATTTTAATAATAGAAAAAGCTATCCAGTTTAGATTGGAAGAACCTGATTTGGTAAATATTGACCAATTGGAACATATCGCTAGTGTTCGTTTCGGGTTGACAGTTACTGCTGAAGTGATGTACCAATACTGCAGTAGTAACCCACAAAGAAACCAATCTGGACAACAGTATATGCAATATGTATGGAGACTGATGGAAGTAGCCAAGACATATTGCGAAAAGTGTGATTCCTCACTACCGAGGGACTTTTTGCTGAAACAGCTGTGTCGAAGATATGGTTCCGACTGTTTACAGTCAATTATTCACGACCAGAGAGGTACCGAATGGTTACTACCAGCAGACTTGATTGTTGAGGTAAAGTGGTAATATTTTGACGATTCTAATCGACACAGAACATTATTATAAATTTAGGTACCGAAAAGAAAAGAAATTAACGGTCCGTAAAAGGCCGTGTATGCTATCGTGCTAAGACGTATGTTCACTCCCAGGAACGTTTGCATTTTCTCTTAAGATACGTTCAAGCTTAGTAACTTCACATTCAAACACTCTCCTGTGTTTACATCAAGTGTAGAAGCTATATCGCTTTATAGAAATGAAACCCTGACACTGAACGCAAACGTTCCCGTCGGCCGATAAGGTCGTTGTGCTGTTTTCGTGTATAATTAGTCACGTGATACTCTCATAATACTATGCTTATCAAACAATTCAGAATTAAGCTGTTTGCCTGTTGTAATTATATATCATTAATCGGTTAACATGTGACATTTACAAATTAAAGTGATACTTATCATGCATCTATGTCTTCAGCTCGAGGTACCAGATAGATACATTATATGTGGTAATGATTATCGCAAGATAAGACAAGTTATAATCGAGTTAGTAAAATCATCATCTGATGACAAGTTTATACATAAGACAATTGAGGTAAACACAACATATTCCTAGAAAGCTATTTACTCTAACAATTTTTGATAATAGTTCATAATACATAATAACATCTGTTGTTTGTGTAATGTAGTTATTCATTACAGTAAAAATGTTTATTCTCTCCACCTGTAGCCTTTAATGGAAACTAGAGAGGTCAGTGAAGCCATGTTGTTGCTCGCTATATACCAAGCTGTGACCCTACTTTATGACAGTGACAAAATGGAAGCGGGAAACGTTCTAAAACAAAGCGTATGTTTCTATTACGGATTTCCTTAACTATAATTCCTTTTTGATATTATAAATAGTTGATAGTATATAAATCTGCTGAACAATGCTGTCAACAACAACAATAGTAATAATAATTTTCTTCTATTGCAGCTATTACATAGACTAAATGAACATATTCAAAATAATCCATTTGTGAAACACAAGGTAATACATTTCAGTGTTTCGTTTTTATCCGATGATGCTCTTTTATTAATGTATTTATAATGATGAATATATTGAGTGGTCTGTTTTTTCATTGACAGAAATTTGCAGAAGACCTCCTGTACAACAGGCAATAACAGTTCTTCCTGGTCAGCCATCCTTACACCGTACATTGGCTGCTATCGTTATACATGCGATGACTGTATTTAAATGTATTGGAGAGGAAAATTCACTAATTCAACCAATTACGTCGTTGATGAAAACACCACTTGATATGATGGTAAGTCAATTTACAAGTCGGTTGCAATATCAGTAGCCAAAGTATGAAGCCAATACCAAAATTACAAACTGAATTAGTTATAATACCCTATTTAATGTATGACTTGTTTTATTTACTGTGTGACGTTGCTTATATATTCTTTAGGTTAGTGACCTAGATCACGTTGCTAACATACATGCCTACTCTTATACATATTGATATGCTGTTTTTTACGTTAATTGTCCCATGTATCAAGTTTCAAATCATTTTGATCAATCAATCAACCGAACTTAAAACTTAGTATTTTACCGTTAGTCTGTTCTTACCATATAATTGTACAGAATAAATTGTCCAATATGTCACCATATAACTTGATGTCATTATTTCAGGAGTCATTCTTACCGACGATGCACAGAGAACGGAGAACACAAGGACGTATTGTAAGTTTCCAGCTTTAACAAATCTACTTTTCACTAATGTCTCCTCAATGTATAATGGAAAAATTAAACTAATAGTATCGTTTAACAAAATATAACTGTATTGCATTTTTTAGATTTCCCACACCGTCATGTAGAAGTCATTGGTAAGGTATGTACGCATTTTATACACACAGTTATATTAGAATTCATTCATTTATATTGATCTAGGAGTACCTTTTAATAGTTATAATAATTTAATGAGTACATATTATTTTAATTACAGGGTAGCAGTTCCAACGGCGACACAGTTCACGAAGGTGAATACGAAACAGATGGACAGTTGCACCACTACGATGGCGGAGAAACCGAACCTGTAGGGTAAGTGATGGGTGAGGGTTGTATTCTGTTTGGCGCCCAGTTATGTTTAGAAATAACGCTTTAAATGAGAATAATAGACCTCGCTCATGAGTGTACGATGACGTAATCACGCTATAGGAGACACTTATTTTTCCTAGCTTTGGCAACATGCAAACTGGTCATAATCTCGGATCACCGGAAACGCGACTTGACGAGGAGCCAGTACCATGCCGAAAGATGTCTGCTGTTGCTTCTGCTATTGTCAGACTAATAATGCACACTGCATTACTGTCTGCAGACGTAAAACAGGTATGTCAGTCAGTAGCAATTCATGGGAACGTGGTATAAGAAGGAGTAAATGGTATAATTTGAGGAAGGGATGGTTCACTTAATTATTAGTCATTATTTCAAACATTGTATTTACTGAAAAGATAATATTATTACACCAGTAATGTATATCTTAAATTATAATCATATGTTTTGTTCTGTTAGAACTTCAGCGGTTTGATCTGTTCACCCATAGCTGCCACTCCAAATGTTTCGCAGTATTTTTGGCAACATTTAAATTGCGATATTCATCAGCTGTCACGTGCAACAGGGAAAGGCGTGGACGATGCTGCGTTAATCGTACACATGGTACTACACAGAATACTCACTCACAAAACAAGAGGTAATATAATAATGTTTCATTTTGGACTGGATGGACCTGACCGTATATTGTGTTTATATTTGATGAATTGATAGTTCACTGTAATTAGTTTAGTATTCTTGTGTCATTGGGAAAGTAATTTAATTGTCCCATTAATCCATTAATAGTTCACGACAAGTGTGATAAATTCCTGAAAACAACAGAAAGTCGAGCGGTCTGGGAAGAAGCATTCACCATAACATATATTGATCCTGTTATGAAAGTAAGTAAGATAAATTGTTAATTTGTTCAAATTAGGACTGGCACATGTCTGTGCGATTTGGTTTAACTACTTCACCATTACGGCACATATGTGGATCTTTTATCTCATAGTTCACATATCAACTGCATGGCTGAGATTGGTATATAATTAGGCGCTAATATTTAACAAAATAGTTTGCATTGAGTCCTCTTTCTAACATCGATATGCCTGGGTTAATATTTTACATGTCTAAACTTTTTTTTCATTCTTATAGGGGATTACGAAACAATTACATACTGCAAATAGAATTGTTCATCTTGAAAACAATCTCGTCAACAACCAACTGTATAAACTGGTTCATGAATTGATTTCACCACAAGTAGACGTGAAGCCAAAATCCTTATTACAACACCCTGGGATATGGATATATCGCGAAAGAATAACAGTGCAACATCTTGTCCATACATTGGCAGAGAATAACGACGGCAAAGGAACCGAATCTTGCAGAGTTCTTCGGGAATTTCTTAATAGAGTAAATATCATATTTTCGTTTTAGAGAATGTGCCTATAGACCTGTTTTAAGCCCAAAGTACTGACCTTAGATTTATATTCCATTATTTAAAAATATAAAAATGTAATCACACGAAAGAAAATGGTGGAAGGATACTACACATTTGTATTTGTTTTAATTGGCGAACTGGGAATCGTGTGATATGGTTTTTATTCAAATCGAGTGTGTAATATACTGATTAAACGGTCGCTAATAACAGTTACTTACATAAAGTTTATTACTATTTTTACAACAGGAACATCAATTACGGGCTCTGAAGTACTTACCTGATATTATCCGTCTGCAACAAATACTCATCAATAAATACCATAGAAGAATAGATATGAAAGAGGCATCTGAACTAACAATTAGACAGTTTATTGACGACATGTCCTCCCAAGGTAGAACACGATTTATATACAGATTTTGTTCAGAGTGAGAGAGCCACGCGACTAATTTCTGTCCCTTCAATAATCTTATGTCCACTCCCATCATCACGTCAGCTGCCAAATACCATGGTTACATTGATAAATGGAAGAGTGGAAGTGATGATGTGAGAAAATTGAACACTCTCTGAGGGACAAAAACAAGTATCGTGGCTTTCGCCTTCTCAGTGGTATTTCGGTGACAATTTCCGTCTAAGACAAGGGGACTATGACCCAGTTCCATATACACATCATTATAACAATTAGATAATAATAAAATAATAATAAAATCATTGTAAAAAACAATCAGATGATGACACAACTATATGTCCTCATAAAATGCTATCGCATCATAGATATATAACATTCCTGTGTTCACGGACACGAGTACCTCCCTCCCGAATTTACGCCAATAACTTTTGAGATCTGGTCTTCGTTTTTCTCGATAAAGAGTCTGTGAAGCGTGTTTAGACATTATATCTATAAATTATGTCATTATGTGTGTTTGTTGAAGGGGAATACATAAGCGCACAGAATGGCGTCGGGTGTATTTGTAAAATCGATTCTTCGTCAAGCTGAACCTGCTGAAATTATAAGCTTATGCAAAGGAAAGAGGTGTCCAACCCAATAAAAAAACGCTATTTTAATTTGTTAAAATTATATATTTGTGTCATACACGAATTCATGCATTGCCATGTTTTATGATTTATTCGGTATATTTATTCGTTTATAATTAGTATTTGGGTCTCAAAAACTGTCTGCCTGTGTGAGCGTATAGTGTTCGTCTATTTAATGGTATTTGACTTCCGTATACGAAGCACACAATAGGAGTCTGTACGTATGTGTGTATGTCGGTGTGTCTGTGTGTCCCAATGATATCTCTGTTTTTTTTTTATGAAACTTAATGCATAGATGCTTTGGACTAATACATATATTTAACAGGTTCAAATATCCGCGCATATGAATTACCTAATTTGCATAATTACTTAATTTTCAGTTTGCCGCTGAAACTTCAAGTACTAATCCTTACATTTCAATGAAACTTTGTTACATAGGTCCTCTAGCACAATTCACAGACCTTATTAATTTTTGGTTTACAATCCGTGTATGTTTAACAACACATTTGCATAATTAGCCAATTTTCGGCTTTTACACCGATATCTCGTGTCAATTTCAATGATCCTTGGCACTTGGTACATGCTCTTGGACAATGTACATACCTTCTCAGTCTATATAATTACCTATTTTGCATAATAATTCATAATTTTGTTAGTTCTAGTCACCTTTCCATTTGCATATTAATTAGACAGATATAATTAGTTTGGGAATTGCATAATAATTTACTTTTCAGCTTTCCACCAATTTGTTTAGGATTAACCATTATATTATCATACCATACCATCACAGACCTAAATCTATGCATATAATTACTTAATTTGCATAATAATTAATTTGGAACATTTGGGTAATTCAAGGACATGATTAGTTTAATGTGGAAAAACATGCATATTGATGTCTAATTATTATTAGTTCATTTCTGATATCTAAAATATCATATTTAAATTGAATTAGTGGCAGAAGTGCTCTGAAATTAATTTGACTGAAAACCACAGATGTCAAATCAAGTGTATTTTTTGCAATTTCTAAAACGTGGATCACATTGTTTTGACGCTGTGCATCTCAAATATCAGACAAATATTAGTTGCAAGGCTTGTTTGAAAGGCTAATTTTGAATCAATTTTAATGTGTTTCCAGCACTCGCAGCACACGGGGGTTCTTTCTATGCTTTCTTTTATATATTGACTTAGCACCCAGGATAGTATATAGCAATTTACATATTTTTATTTTAGATCATGACATGCAATATGAAAAATTGGTTGATAGTTTTTCCAAGGCTTGGAATATACTGAGACAGAATCTTAAAGATCATGGTAAATATAGGCATTTTACTTGCTTACAATACAATGTTTATAGTAATACCATGTTAGCAAATTTATCATATTTAATTCGATATGTATTTACTTATACACAGGCTTCCCAGTACAGTTATATCAAAATGACATCGATTTGGATGGCGGTATTGAAGTTCTTCTTCCAGCAATAAAAGGCCATGGGAAGTGTTCCACTGCCTTGACTGACCTCTTGATTGACACGCAGAATGAATTTATTGACATGTATACATCTATTAAAAAGGATCAAACGCAGAGGTATGTATATCATTGTCACTGTTGGATTACTCGGTCATACTCACAACTATTAAAAATACTGGTTATTCTGTGAGCGGAGAAGAGGGAAGCGGGGCTAAATTAAATGTTTAATGGTTGTTTTTGTTACCTAATTTCCCAAATGTAAAAGAGTATAGGATTTCATAGCATACTATTTTCTATTCAATCCCAGATATTTGTAAGCGACAAAAATCGAGAGGGGACACGACCTATGCAGTTGTTCGAATGTAGCCAGTCAATTTGTGTAGTTTATATCACACGACGGCACGGCGATTCAGATATCCAGTAAACGCAATAATCAGAACGTGGTCAATTCATTTTAAACATTGAATGACCAACACAGTATTTCAAATTACAAACCAAAATAACAGTAATATCAATTGCTCGTTTATTTTATGTTTTCCAGTGTGGACGCTGCGTGCGTAAAACATGCTACATTCGGTACATCTAGGTCGTAGCAAAGGCATGCATGTGCTAATATTGTGTTCAATACTTATATTTCAGTGGCGATGCCTGTGAACCGAGTGCACTAACTGCAGCTCATCTGATATGGTATGACTCCGAAAAAGATTTGTTACCATTGGTGTTGTCCAACTGCAACTACTCTTTGGAAATCGGGAAAGGAACACTCGTGGAATATGACGTTATTAACATTGAGCGACAGCTGGAAGAAAGATTTATAATGGGAAAAAGCAGAATACTAAAAAATAATAATCAGTTAATGTTTCGTCAAGATTCTAGAAATCCTAGAATTTTCCGTACGCTTGAAGACAAAATACCACAGGTAGGTAGTCACGGTATTTGATGATCTGAATCTGTAGGGGTTGAAACAGAATTTGCCATAAGTGTACACATTTGTATTGTTTAGTATACGGTGTGAATGTACCGTATGTGAGCGTTATGGCAAGAATATCAAACGTAATTACTAATATTACTAATATATCTTTTCAATTAGTGGCGACGGCAAAAAATGTTGGGGGCGTCGCACCTCTAAAATCAAGCTGAAACCTATTGTGTCAGCAAAATTTGCCCCTCAAAGTACAGGAAATAGCGTTTTGGAGGGTCTAGATTTCCAGACCCCCTAGTGAAGTCGATCCTTATTAGTCGCGAGGTTGGTGAGCATATCTCGCCCCTCTGTGTAAAATTTCGTGTCGCCGCCGCTGTCAATGATTATAAATTTATTTTAAATGTAACCAATTATTAAAAATCCTCGTCTATGTTTAATTTGAACTTTCAGATTGGTCTATCAAAATCGGCCAAAAGGCGGATTCTATTTGATATGAAATCTATGACAGATATAAACGATTCGATTATGTGTTTGGATATTGCCATTGACTTCTTGGCATCATCTGGTGAAATTCCGAAGACGCCATTAAACAAGTATTTGCAGGACATACTTGAAATGGACAAAGATTTAATGAAGGTATGATGTGTGTTTTTCAAAATTGTTCAGTACATTGGCGTTATTTTGCCCTGTAAACAAGTTATAGATTTCATTATGTATTCTGTGTCATATGCGTGTTCTATCACCCTCAATGTGTGCCTCAGTATTGATATTAGTATGTGATTTGTGCTTTAAATTAAGTATATAGAAACTGTTCACATTGAAATGTTTGCATTGTTAGCTTTATATTTATTCAATCAATTTGTATTTCCAAAGGTGAAATATTCGTGCGAGTTGGGACATATCATAGCTCTATGGAAGTTGTTAGCAACCGAGCGTGACAGAAGATTGACTTGAATTCACAGGTAAACTCTATAGCATTCTTTCCATATCTCATTGTATTGTTTAATTGATGCATATATCTCAGGAATAAATATAGACAAATATAATACAAAGCTGTGTCTGTTTATTTTTAGGATCCTTTCGATTTCCTTAATGATGCATATCGGATTGAACTGACTGCCGAACAGAAAGAGAATCTTCGATCAGCTTTGCCGTACATAGACATTGATAAGCTCGTAGATGAATTGCACCGATATATTGTAGTTATGCTAGGATGTCAAGTACACGAAGACCATAATGTCACTGCCAAGCGGTATGTACAGTTAATGTTGAACGTAACAATTTGTAAAGGACTTTAAATATGTTGGATCTGTTTGTCTGTTTTTTTCTGTCTGTTTGAAAGCAGTTTCGATGCGAGTAATATAATAAACTTAAGCCTAATCCTACTATGGCCAATGTATGTGTGTATATGTACTGTTAAATGTAATGTATATGTCCACTGAACAACTATTGATTTCTGATTAATGGATGGGTAGGTCAGTGCTTTATGTGTCACTAGAAATAAGCTCCAATTCTTTCAGATTGCTGCGTGACGTTTTACTGAAGACGAGTAAGCTTGACATCAAAGGAATGGCAGAATTTTTCCCTGGCGATATTTGTGTACAGCATGTCCATGACACGTGGAAAGAACTGATTACATATCAACAAAAGGAATGAAGAACCTTGTAATATAATCAAGCTGTGATTTATTAAATAATATTTAGCATTATATGTTTTATCTTGTAACGTGTGTGCAGTTATGTATTGTGTAACCGTTTAACGATGATTTAGTATTCCAGGATACATATATCTTACTTTGGAGAGACGTGTGCTTTTGTTAAAGAGTTGTGATTAGTAATAACACGTTTTGAATTTTGAATTATTATGAGTCAACTAATTAATTTTCTTGTATTTTGTCCTCATTATATTAACACTAGACCAATGAGAGAAACTATTCGACATTGATCTTCATCTGACTTAATTGCATTCACTTCAAGTCATTATCGACGAATTACATTATCATACTATTATAGTAATTGTGTTGTTAGTATATCTGATTATCTGTTCTATAACAGCATTTAATTACAATTTAAATATGCATAATGGATAAATTGGGTATTAAAGATGCAATGTGGATGAAAACATGCTAGTGGCAATACTGTTGTTTCATACATGTGTGACTACTTTGGAAAATGATATATTGTGACTTGAAAACGCTGTTCTTGTAAGCTCATACTGGAATATTTGTTCAGAGAAACAATTACATTCCTTGACAGACATGCGATGCTGGTAGTTTTGGTGCGTACAATGACAGTCATTGCGCATGCTTATTGTTAGTTGTTTTTTATCTAACAATATTATTATGCGTCTTGAAAATGCACCATTTTTAGTTTATGATAAAACTGTAATCTGATTTGGTCTATAGTATAGACTATCAAAGAGCAATATTAAAAAATGTTTTTGTCCATATCGCATCTTTAATATGACTTTGTTGTTAACTTCTTGACCGCTTTAATTTTGGTGTATTTTGCAATTTTATGTCTAAAATTTCGTTTATTTTTACCTAATAGACATAATTTCACATTGTCTACAATCAACAATTTGGAAAAATATGAAATAAAAATACTGCAGCTTCATTTTGTGAAGATGAAAAAAGTTTACTTTGGCGTTCAAAGGCTTAATATACATTATTGCAGCAACAATTAATTTCTCTGTGATATGTATTTTGTATTCGTTATGCTATTTCCGTGAGCAACAAATACACACGCGTCGAATGCTGATATCAGTGCCGAAGTGGTGTATTATTTCCAATGCATCTTGTGTATTTGTCTCAGTGGCAATATACAAAATGTTATAGGATGTTTTGCTGTGACGGATTTGCGAACATGCAGGTAAAATAATAACCAGCCCTAGTATAATTATATAGCTTTTTTGTGTCAACTCGAAAACAATTAATATTTACCATTACTATTATATTAATAGTCAAGGAGTCTGATGCCATATATATCACATTTACTTTTGTAGTCAATTAAGTAGACGCACGGAAATGACGCCTTGATTCACTATATTGTAATTGGTTCTTGAAATCAGCTAGTTTGAAAGTTGCAGTGTGCTGTTGAGTGGAGGGAGTTGTATTACGCAGTGAAGTCGTAAAGCAGATGTGGTCCTGTTTTTTGAGTGGTGATTTGCTTATTGATTGGGAAATTATATTGACCTTCATTTGTACTTCAAATTATATTAAAGCAGCCACTGTATGAGTAGCTAACACCTTGGGACATCGGGGAGTTGTCCTAACAATACCCCGCTGTCACATGG